TTTAAATAAATATTAATAAATTATAAAATAAATAATAATTAAATAATTAAATAATTATCTGTTAGTTTTTTTTTTAATTTTTAATTTTTTTTAAAAATTCTTGTTTTTGTTTTTTAAGTTTTTTTAGTTAAATTTTATTATTTTTAATTTGTTTTTTCAATTTTGTTCATTCTTTTACTGTTTTTGCATTATAAAGTTTTTATTTTAAAGATGTAATATTATTTAAACAAGTAGTACATTGAACATAATAATAATTATACATAAACAACATTTTAAAAATTTTTAAAAAAATTAATTAATTTTATTAATAAAAAATTTAAAAAAAATATGTAAAATAAATACATACTTAAAAAAATGATTTTTTTAAAAAAAAACAAATAAAAAATAAAGATATTTAAATAAAAACCAATTAATAAATTTTGCAATTATTTTTGCACGATTTCTTCTTTTTGGAGTTCTTCTAGCGACAGTTTTTGAGGTTTTTACATTTGCACTTTTAGCTTTATACACCGCTTCATATATATTTCTATAGTGTACAAAAATACTGCCCTTATAATTATTTGTAATTTGACCATTTTTATTAAGAATTAATCTGTAATCTCCAGTTTTAAAATCCCAGATATATAATTTTGGAAGTCTGATTGCGACTATAGGATCACTATTTGCAGTGAATATTCAAAGTGGTAATAAAATTAAAATTAAAATTAAAGTATATTTTATTTTTAACGATCACCAATCCTAATACCACTAATGATTTGTTTAAAAATTTTTATTTATAAAAAAAATTTATATTTGATTTGTTTAATTATTATAATTTTAAAATTTGTTTAATTATTGCTCCTTTTATATTAAAAATAATAAATAAATAATTAAGATTTTGGTATAACTTTTAAATAATTGTTTAACTTAATTTATTCATATATAAATAACGTAAAAATAAAAATTTTCAAAGTAATCTTTTTCAAATTTATATGCTTGTAAGTGTTTTTTTTTTTATTTTTTTAGAACATTCTTTTTCTTTTATTTGCTAATTTTTTTTAATTGTAGTATCATTTGATAACCTTTTTTGTCTCTATAGAGGCTCAAATAAGGCTTGCATTATATCTCTATGAAAAATGCTTTAATAGTATTATCTATACAATTATTGCGTATTTTTGTTGCAGTATTATTTTGGTTGGAATTATATGAGATCTGTATGATTATAATCGATGGCTTCATACTATTGTTTTTAGAATATTAACATTTTGGGTTTATACAAATGTGGGGTTAATTTATACAATATTATATATTTTAACTGTTCATGAAATATTTTATTGTGATAAAGAAAAAAGAAAAATAGAATTTAAAAAATATATTTAAATAATTTTAAGTTATTTTTTTTTTAAAAAAAATAAATTATTTTTTTAAAACGTTATTTTTTTTAAAAAATAAAGGTTTTTTTTTTTTTAAAAAAAATAAGCGAACAAACTGAACAACTTGAACAACCTGTACCTGAACAACCTCTACCTTCAACAAATAATAATAATCAAATACGTGATAAAGCAATTGCTAAATTTAATCGTTTAAAAGAAGCTTATAGTGCACTTTATAAACAAAATCAAAGTTTAATTCAAGAAAATGAACATTAGAAAAAAGCAGTTGAAGGATTTAATAATTTTGTTAAAAAAAATCTTGATGATGCAGTTTTAAAAATAAATAATAAACTTGATGATATTAATATTGAAGGAGGAGAGGTTGATTATGAAGAAATTAAAAAAAAAACAAAAGAAACATGTACAGAAACATTAGCCAAGATTCAGGATTTTTTACCAAGCATCATTCCGGATATGGAATCATTATTAACAGACAAACCACCCCCAACAGAATTTACTTAATTTTATTTAATGATATATTAATTATTTTTTTTTGTTTTTTTTATTTTAAATTTTTTTTATAGTTTCGATTTTTATTATATAAAATATTAAATATATATTTTATTTTTTTTAAAAAAAAATGTATTATTTTTTTATTTTTTTAAAAAAATTTTTTTTATTAATAAAAATTAGATCACAAAGATAGTAATGGTACCTGGGTTAAATATTATCCGAGTTATCTGCAGATAATTGGATATCTGGGTTGTAAACTCAGCTACCCAGATAAACATACCTGGATAATATCTGGGTAGACATACCCAAATAATCTTTGGGTAGCAAAAGTTTGAATATTCATATAGATTATTCAAGCTAGCTAAATAGAAATATAATAAACTTAATACCTCAATATACTGTACAAAAAGTTATTTGTAAAATATTATATTTTCCTTGAAAGCTA